CTCTGTTGCCCGGGCTAGAGTGCCGTGGCATCAGCCTAGCTCACAGCAACCTCAAACTCCTGGGCTCAAACAATCCTACTGCCTCAGCTTCCCAAGTAGCTGGGACTACAGGCATGTGCCACCATGCCCGACTAATTTTTTTTCTATATATATTTTTAGCTGTCCAATTAATTTCTTTCTATTTTTGGTAGAGATGGGGGTCTCGCTCTTGCTCAGGGTGATCTTGAACCCCTGAGCTCAAATGATCCACCTTCCTCTGCCTCCCAGAGTTGCTAGGATTACAGGCGTGAGCCACCATGCCCGGCCTTCCTGTGTCTCTTATAGAAGAAAATTATTTTGCTTTCCACTAGTAGATAAAGCTGTGTGTGTTTCTCCTACTTGTATTTTGTAAATACTGATAGATGCTAAACCTTTTCAGTGATCATTTTTTCTTATTATTTTGAGTGCTTCTGTTACCATTCTTATGCCAGATTTATTTCGCATTACTTTTCTTTATTTTTCTGCTTTTCAGTTATTTTCTCTATATTTTATATATTTTTTGAAACTACTTCTAGTCTTGTTTTGCAGGAAATAAGCTTAAATGCATGCATGTGTGGTTTATTTCTTCTGAGGATCCTTGATTTCTTCTATTTTTAAGATTCAAATTGAATGTATAATTAGTCAGTAACAGTTTGTTTTAAATAAAAGTCTTTGAAGTGTTAAATGTCAGCCTTTCATTTTTGTATTTGAATGATGTTTGAAGAGGAATCATAATGCAGTAGTAATTCATAATAGTGGAAGGTTCTTCCCTCAGATCCTTGAAAGCTAGCAATCTTACTCTCCAGCCTGGTTCTGAGCTGTTCCTGTATTAATTTTAAATAGGGTGTGATAGCATAAGCTGATGTGAGGGAGGCTGCAGAGATCTTTCTTTGAAATGGTTATATGTGGGAAGACTGGAGAGGTTTTTTTGTACTGCAAAGCTGTGAGGCCTGATAAGAAAGTGGAATAGGTATAAACCATTGTGCTGCCTCATCTTTTAAGGTAGGGACTACAAACTTATGAGTAGCTACTTAAATGAGTGAAGTGGCCCTGATGTAAGGAAATGCGATGGGCGAGGATTCTGGGGGAACTGGAGCAGGCATACCCCATCTAACAAAGGCTGTCAGTTGTCGCTGTGCCTGAAATGTTGGCCTATCATTGCTGGAGAGTTCACATTTATATGTAAATTTCCTGATTTTTTAAATGGTAATAATTAATTCAGGTTTTAGAAAAACTCAGTGTGGACCAAGCAGTACGATTATGCAGTTCACTAGTTTGTGACTTATTTTAAGGATTCTCTGGGGATATCTGAGCTTTGGGACGAATCATCATTTTTGGTAATTTAGAAAAATGAAGCAGTTTATTGATGACTTTTCTCAAATGCTTTTTTCCCCCATTTATATCTTAGTGTGGGACTACAATACTGGCAGAGTGGGAGCACCATTAGTTTGCTGTGAAATCAAATTAAAGAACTGGGAGGAAGGTAAATTTAACCACATAGCATTTTTATAATTAATATTAAAATTTTAAAACTTTAGAATTGTACTTCATCTCCTTCTTTATCTTATTTAAGAATATAAACACCCAGAAGTTCTCGTTGTTGTTCTTTGTAGTAGATATTTTTTTATCTAGAGCTACATGAATTGCGTTTGTTTTATTCATTTCAATGATGGCTCTGAAGAATTAGCATTGTTTTTATTTTGCCTATTATTTTATTATATAAATGCAAATAAGAATTATGGCAAAAACTTGAGAAATGTGCTAAATGAATAATGTCAATAAGTTAGGAGTGATCATAACTTTGTTTTGTAAAAGCAAAATTAGAAAAGTTATTCTCCGAAGCTGAGGATTTTTTACATGTTTTCCTTTTCCCTGAGGACTTTAACCTGGAATTATCACAGGGAAATTTTCACAGTTCCATAAAAGTCTGTTGCTTATGCCATTTAAAATACTAATCCCTTTTTTTTTTTTTTTTTTTTTTTTTGAGACAGAGTCTCACTCTGTTGCCCGGGCTAGAGTGCCGTGGCATCAGCCTAGCTCACAGCAACCTCAAACTCCTGGGCTCAAGTGATCCTACTGCCTCAGCCTCCCGAGTAGCTGGGACTACAGGCATGCGCCACCATGCCCGGCTAATTTTTTCTATATATTTTTAGCTGTCCAATTAATTTCTTTCTATTTTTTGGTAGAGATGGGGTCTCGCTCTTGCCCAGGCTGGTCTCGAACTCCTGAGCTCAAACAATCCGCCCGCCTGGGCCTCCCAGAGAGCTAGGATTACAGGCGTGAGCCACCGCGCCCGGCCTCCTAAAATACTAATCACTTTTTAAAAATTCACTTGATCCTATTAAAATGTAGAAATTATCTATGATTTATTGGGATGCATCTTTCCTCTGTATAAGGTAAAGATAAAGATTCTAAGGCTCAAATGTCATTTTTCAGTTGTCTTTAGCAGAGTTAGTGAAAATATTCAATAAGTTTAAGCTTGGAGTCATTCTGAAATTACCTGTAAGAATAATTTTCTAAATAGTAATTTGCTTTTATACAGAGATTTGTTCTGTTATTAAATGCGTGACTTAATCCTTATATCAGTTTATTATTATGATATTTAAAACTCTATGGAATATTTTAAACAATTTACCTCTGTAGTATTTGTAATTATTTTATGCAATGAGTGGAGGATGTTGGATTTTTTTTTTCCCCCCTGAAACAGGATTTTGCTCTCACCTAGGCTGAAGTGCAGTGGCGGAATTCATAGCTTCACTGCAGCCTTGAACTCATGAGCTCAAGCGATCCTCCTGCCTCAGCCTCCTGAGTAGCTGGGACTATAGGCACGTGCCACCATGTCCAGCTAATTTTTTATTTTTTATGAGACAGGGTCTCACTATGTTGCCCAGGCTGGTCTCAGACTCTTGGCCTCAAGCAATCCTCTTGCCTCAGCCTCTCAAAGTGCTGGGATCACAGCCATGAGCCACCATTCCTAGCCAGATGTTGGATTTCAGAGTGTGATTTTTCTCTTGTAGTGGTAACTTAAAAGCATAAATGCTTATGGTTAAGCAACTGAAATTTTGCACCTGTTTTTAAATTGATAAACTTTGTTCATTCCTAGTGTCTGCCTTGCTTCCTTTGGGAAGCTCTAATTGGATTAAAATAAGATGTTCTTATTTAGAAACTAATAGTTTCAAATTTTCATGTGTTGCATATAGGGATTAAAATATTGAATTAACTCAGAATTATTATTTATTAGGTGGATACTTTAATACTGATAAACCACACCCTAGAGGTGAAATTCTTATTGGTGGCCAAAATGTGACAATGGGATACTACAAAAATGAAGCAAAAACAAAAGCTGATTTCTTTGAAGATGAAAATGGACAGAGGTGGCTCTGTACTGGAGATATTGGAGAGTTTGACCCTGATGGTTGTTTAAAGATTATTGGTGAGCCATCTAATAATTTTTTTTAAAATGAACATTTCTTAAGTAGTTTTGTACAAGAGGTACAATGTATTTAGAAAGGATGTTTAATAATGTAAGTGTATCTTTATGTAATGTTGGTATGGGCTGTTGCATCAAGCCTGGAATATAAAAATTTTTAATATGGACTGTGGAATTTGAGGCTCGACACATTATGAGGTCTCAAAAACGGTTCAACGACAGTGGTACTTTAAATTACTGTTAGTCGTTTTTTTCCTGCTTGTATAGGAAATACTCATTTTTGCGAATTCTTTGACACCTAGAGATTATTGGATGGGGCTCTCCTATCTGAACTGTGTCCTTGCCTTGCCCAAGAGAATGAAGGAAAGCCAGGCAGCTCAAATGCTATGACCTATATGGGGTGAAAAATGCCTTCCTCTTCTTCTCCCCTTTTTTTCAGTTAATGGCATTTCTATCCCAGTCATGCTAACTAGAAACCTGGGAAGAGGTAAAAGACTCTTCAGTCAGCTCCCATACCTATTTCATATCCCACTGATTGATCTTACGAGATACTCCTTGAATTCATACTCTTCTCTCTTTCTCTGTCCTTCTTGCAATGATTGTAGCTCAGGCCTACACCTTCTGCCACTCTATTGTGAGAAATTCCTCTGTTGCTATGCTTGCTGCCACTTAAACACACCCTCTCACTTCTATCATGTGATTACTAAACACTGATCTAATTGGATCACTTTCTTACTGTTAACCTTCTCATGGCTCCTAGAAGCTCAATTCAGGGTGCCTGTGTTCCATGACTGCTTTTCACCTCTCCACCTCCGTCTTCAGTTGTTTCCCTCCTCCTCCATGCCGCTGACATTCGAACTGACATGCTTCTGGCCTTTGCCAGTGCTGTGATGCTGCTTGGCTGCCTCTCATTCTTCGCAGCTCAGGGCTTACTTGTAGGAATTCTTTTCAATCTAGTTTGGAGAATCTTAACACTTAGCACTACCATGTTGTATTGTGGTAATACGTTTTTGCATTATACATCTCTCCAGATAGAATGTGAGCTTGCAGATGGCATTGAGTATCTTCTTCACCTGCCTGGTATTAATGGATACTAGGATCATATCTATTCAGCAGAACATACCTGAAGCCCTGACGCTGCGGTCCCTTAAGCAGAAGCTAATTGTTTTTTTCTTAAGAGAATGTATTTAATAGCACAAAAATTAGGGCCTAATTGTATTATGTACTTCTAATTTTAGCTTAACCATTAATGCTTAATTTAGCAAAGTTTTAAATAATTTGATAGCAAATTATGTAGGGAATGGCCAGTATTTATGTGTGTTAAAGGTGTTATTAATACTATTCTTCTCAATGTTTTCCCCTCCCCACTTTTGTTTGTATTGCACAGATCGTAAAAAGGACCTTGTAAAACTACAAGCAGGAGAATATGTTTCTCTTGGGAAAGTAGAGGCAGCTTTGAAGAATCTTCCACTAATAGATAACATCTGTGCATATGCAAATAGGTAAGAAAGTGGAATTCATGCTACTTTTACTTAAAACATTTGGTGTGTCACAGGAATTTCTTCCCTGTATGGACATTCTTTGTAAAATTATCCCAAGAACTCTTCCTTCTTTTCTGTTATCACTGGGAACAGTCTCCTCCTCATTATAGCCATTGGCTGACTCATTCCTTGCAATGCTTCCCCTCACCATCTTTCTCTGTATCCCTGTTTTCTGCTTTACATCTTGCTGCAGTGTCCTGTGTGGTTGGGAGGTAAAGAAAATACAGTCTTCCTTCCTGCAGCTTTGGTATCCCTAGCTACCTGTCTGTCTGCATGGGAAGCTTCACAGAACCACTCCAGGGGAAAGGGGAGTCAAGAAATGTCAGTGAGCAGTACACAGTACACTTCTCTGCTCTGAACTTGAGTCTACTTAGGACCCTGGGCAGGGGCTAGGGGCTCCCACCTTAAGCCATATTACACTATGGCTTAATATGTAGCATCCCTAGCCTATGGTGATACAGAGGCAGCTGAGAACCCGTCTACAGCAACTGACAATTATTGTGGGAAAAGGAAATCTGGTATCAGAAAAACCAATTTAGAAACAGGCTTTTGGGTACAGACCAAGTTAAAAATGAACTACATTGATTTATAAATGATTCTGCCCTTTAATTGGCCATTTAATATTTTCTTTAGTGATGCTACAGTTCTGGATTATACTTACGTGATAGTGACCAGAACTTCTCTTCCTGTGCAGCTGCCATTTTTTCAAGTTACTGTTTTATGGTCTTTAAAAAAGTATCTGCCTTCACTGGGCATACTCAGTGTTCCTCTTTAAACAAGTTCTCATGGTAACAAAAGCAAAAATGAATATAATCAAATTATTTTGATTCTTTAGATAACAGTTTTTAATTATATTTTAGTTTTGTTTAACCTGTTGCAATGAATTACTGATTTTTTAAAGATGAATTTTCTAATATTTGTAATTTTCTTTTAAAAAATGTATGCATGGCACTGTTCATAATAGTTATGTTTTCTTGAAATTTACCATGAAATGTCAGATTGAGGTTTATTTAACAATGAACTCTGCCAAAGCACTGGAGCATACTATGAATCGGACAGCAAAACTAGCTGTTGCATGAGATAAATATGCCAGTACCAAGTGTGGCACATGTTTTTTAAAAATAGTGAAGAGTTAATTACTGTCATTGTGATCAGTAACTGTAGTTGTTAACCTAGTATACCATTTTGTTCCTTATCTAAATTGTCCTTTGTGTATTTCAGTTATCATTCTTATGTCATTGGATTTGTTGTGCCAAATCAAAAGGAGCTAACCGAACTAGCTCGAAAGAAAGGACTCAGAGGGACTTGGGAGGAGCTGTGTAACAGCTGTGAAATGGAAAATGAGGTACTTAAAGTACTTTCTGAAGCTGCTATTTCAGGTGAGTGTTTTGTTAAACTGATTCTAAGAACTGAGAAGGAAAGAGAATAGTTACATTGATTTAACCTGTTAAAAGGCTTAGGGCACAACATTTCCTGCTCAGAAACCATTTCTACCATTAGTAGATGGAAAAATATCTACCTAACCAGTTCCCCAGTCAAGCTCTCCTCTCTAGGAAACAAATCATCTGCTGCCACCAAACTGACGTGCACGTATGTTGAATGGTCTCGTCTCTGCAGCTTTTGTTTTCTGGGTTGGCCCTTTCTCTCTTTATCTCAGCTGTTCCTTAAGACCCTCCTCAGTTTCCTGGTCGCACTAGCCCTCAGTGAACCATCTAAAACTCGTTTTGGAACTTTATACAGTGTTAGGGTCCAGGTACTTGATTGTACTAATGTCCTATACCTGTTTTTTCTTTTGGTTCAAGACTAGTTTAATATTGTTGCTTTAATAAAAACAGCTGTGTTTTTTGAGTTATTATTAAGTATAATACAAGCATACACTTTTGTTCTACTTGGGTATGTCATATAAGGTTATGAAAAATATAAATTTATATTTTAAGCAAATGAAGTCATTATTCTGGTCCTTTATTTCAACGTTAATTGTGTTTTGTAGTATGTTAGCTTAAAGATTCCATTTTTAGGTAACTTAAAATCTTAGAACTGATGCTAAAATTGTTTTATTTAATGAATATTCATTAGAAACCTGCATCATTTCTAAATAAGGTAGAATACTAAAACAATAAGTATAATTTTAGGTTCATATTCCTATTTGCTTGTTTTTGTATGTATTGTAACAGCTCTTTTCAGATAATTAACATACTATACAACTCATCCGTTTAATGTGTACAATTAAATGGCTTTTAATATATTCACCAAGTTGTACAATCATCACCACAGTCATTTTTACAACATTGTCATCACCCCAAAAAGAGACCTCACACCCATTAGCAGTCACTCACCATTATTCCCAAAACCCCCTATTTTTCAGCAACCTCTGATTGACTTTCTGTCTCTATAGATTTCCCTATTCTGCAGATTTGGTATAACTAGAATCATACAAGGTCTTTTGTGGCTGCTTTTTTTCACTTAGCATGTTTTCAGAGTTCATCCACGTTGTAGCGTGTATCAATACTTCATTCCCTCTGATTGCCAAATAATGTTTTATTGCATGGATATATGCCACATTTTGTTTATATGTTCATCATTGATGGACAATTTGTTTCCACTTTTGGCTATTAAGAATAATGTGGCTGTGAACATACGATTTTGTGTGGACATGTGTTTATTTGTCTTGAGTAGAGATACCAAAGTGATGTATTAACTTTATATTGACCCTTTTGAGGAACAGCCAGACTATTTTCCAAAATATTTTTTCCAAATATCTTCCAAAATGGCAGCATTATTTTACATTCTCACCACTGGTATATGAAGGTATCAGTTTTCCCACATCCTCGCCAAGACTTCTTATTGACTGTCCTTGTGATTCTAGTCATCCTAGTGGGTGTGAAGTGTAGTATCTTACTGTGGTTTGATTTGTGTTTCCCTAGTGGCTACCGATATTGAGCATTTTTTCATGTGCTTATTGGCTGCCATATATCTTCTTTAGAAAATATCTATTCAGATCCTTTGCCCATTTTTTAATGGTGTTACTTGTCTCTCTGTTATTGAGTTGTATGAGTTCTTCATATATTCTTGATAAAAGTCCATTATCAGGTATGCGATTTGCAAATACAGCTGGCTCTTCGTATCTGTGGGTTCTGCATTCATGAATTCAACCAACTACAGATCAAAAATAGAAAAATACAATACGACAATAAAAAAATTTAAAAATAGTAATAACAACTATTTACATAGCATTTACATTTTGTCAGGTATTATAAGCAATTTAGAGATGATTTAAAGTACATGAGAGGATGTGTGTAGGTTATATGCAAATATTATGCCATCTTGTAGAAGGACTTGAGCCTCTGTGAATTTTAGTATCCATGGGAGTCCTGAAACCAATCCCTTGCATATACTGAGGGACAACTGTATTTTCTCCTATTCTCTGCGTTGTCTTTAAACTTTCTTGGTGGTGTTCCTTGAAGCACAAAAGTTTTTAATATTTATGACATGTTTTGATCCCCTTCTCATTTCTCTCTGCGTATATTCTATAGATGTTTTCTTTGTGGTTGCCAATGCAATTAGATAAAACATTTGAAGTTTTAACAGTATGTTTTAAACTGACACCAGCTTAACTTCCATCTCATATAAAAACTCTACTCCTTTACATTCCTGCCCCTTCCTCTGTTATTGATGACACCAGTCACCTTTTTTATTGTATATCCATTAACATAGATTTATAATTACTTTTTATGCCTTTGTTCTTTAAATTCCATACCAGATTTAAATGTGATTTATGCATCTACATTACATTACTTCAGAGTTGTGTATTTCCCTATGTATTTAACTTTACCAAGGAGTTTTGCAGTTTTTTATGGTTTTATGTTACTGTTTATTATCCTTTTGCTTCAACTTGAAGGACTCCCTTCAACATTTTTTGTAAGGCCAGCCTAGTAATGAAAAACTCCCTCAACTTTTGTTTGTCAGGGAAAGTCATAATTTTTTCCTTCATTTTTGATGGGCAAGTTTAGGTTATAGTGTTCTTGGTTGGCTGTGTGTGTGTGTGTGTGTGTGTGTGTGTGTGTGTGTGTATGTGTGTTTTCTTTCAGTATTTGGAATATATCATCCCTCTCCTTTTTAACCTTTAGGCTTCCTGCTGATAGTTCAGTGGGAGCTCTTTTGTGTGCGATGACTCATTTTTCTCTTGCTGCTTTCAAGATTCTCTGTGGCTTTTGTCAGCTTGATTATGAATGTGTCTTGGTATGGTTCTCTTTAGATTTATCCTAGTGGAGTTCTTTGAGCTTTTTAAATTTATACTGCCATTTCCCTCCTCAGATGTGGGAAGTTTTTGGCCATTATTTCTTCAAATAGGCTCTCTGCCCTTTTCTCTTTCTTTTCCTTCTGGAACTCCTATAATAAATGCTTTTTTCCACTTGATGGTGTCCCATAGATTTCTTAGGCTCACTTCATTTTTCTTCATTTTTTTTCTTTTTGCTCTTCTATCTCAGTAATTTTAAGAGTCGTGTCTTTGAGTTCACGTATCCTCTCTTCCACCTGGTCAAGTCTGCTCTTGATCCTCAAGTGAATTTTTCAATTCATTTATTGTATTCCTTAGTTCCAGAATTTCTGTTTGGTTCTTCTAATTCTTTTAAATCTCTTTGTTAATATTCTCATTTTGTTCATGTGTCATTTTTCCGATATTGTTTATGTCTCTCTACTCTTTTAATTGAGCATCTTTATAACAGTTATTTTGAATTCTTTGGTAATTCATATATCTCCATTTCTTTGGGATTGGTTTCTGGAGATGTAATCTTTTTGACAGGCCATGTTTTTCTATTTGATTGTTATGTCTTAATTTTTGTTGGGACTTTAGCATTTGGAAAATCATCTACCTTTCTCAGTCCTTGCGGTCTGGTTTTGTATTGGGTAGACTTTTCCCAATCAGCGCTGCTAGATTCTGAAGCCATTTCAAACCTTTTCTGAGGATGTATCCTCTGGGTTTGTGGGTATGATATAATTGAAGAGGTTTGCCAGTTTCAACTCAGGAACTCCCCCTGGTGCCTGTCACACGGTGGCCTCACTGGTGCTGCAGTAAGCTCTGGCACTGGAGTGCCACCTAGTGTCTCTTTGTGATATTGTAGCCTCTGGTGTATTTTTGTTACCTTTGTCCTTGACAGACCTCAACCTGGTGCCCTATTCCTTTCAGTGCTTTAAATTCAGGCAAGATAGAAACCAGTCTCTTGCACCCCAGAAGTCAGAACATTACATATATGTTCCACTTCTTTTCCAAGGCGGGTAGTCAGAAGCCTGGGTTTGCTTCCCTATCACTCTGCACTGTGCTGAGGGGAGAGGCTCTAGCAAGCGAATGCTGGGTATTTTTCTACCGTACTTTGATGCAGTTGGTTTCACACTGTCCTGGAGTGCAGGAACCTCTTAACTGGTTTCTAAATTTCTTAACACAGCCAATAAATAGGTCTGTATATTTGTTAAATCTATGTCTCTTTGGGGGAGGGACTGGGTTTTCCTTTACTGACATCTCTCCTCCTCAGCACATTTCTTTTGTATCCTATTATGGTAAGGTGTTCACCTGTGTTTTCTTTTTAGATTGCATCCACTTGAGAGCAGCAACTATTTATTCATTTTCGTCTTGTTTTTAAGAATGTATAGTATAGCACTTTACACTTAGTAATTTTTTTCAATAAGTATTTGTTGAACGAATACTTGAAAAGTAAATCAGTCCTACTAAGGACATACGCTTTTTCAAAACTACATCTTCCTGTTAACGTCCCTTGGATGCTTTCCTTTCCTCCCTTCCTTCCTCCATGTGTCTGAGTACAAATGTACTGGCAGTGTGTTAGGAACACGATAGTAAGCAAGCATCCTGTCTCCATGTACCTTACAGCCAATATCCTGGTTTAATGACAAGATTCTCTTTTTTTAATTTCTGAAGTAATTGTACTCTTTATAATAAATTCAAGGAAAACAAATAGGGGTAAAGGAAAAAGAAAAATTTCCTCATTTACTTTCTCCTGGATCCCAGTCCCTAGAGGTGCATGGTTTTCAGCTTTGTGTGTATTCTCCTCGTCCTGTACATCTAGATGTATTTAAATTTATCTAGCCTGTGCTATAACTTGTGTGTGTGTGTGTGTGTGTGTGTGTGTGTGTTTACCTAATAATATACAGTTACACACTGCATGACGACGTTTCGGTCAATGACAGACTGCCTATATGACAGTGGTCATATAAGATTATAATACCATATTTTTATACTACCTTTTATATGCTTAGATATGTTTAGATACACAAATACTGTTGTATTACAATTGCCTGCAGTATTCAGCAGAGTAATGTACTGTACAGGTTTGTAGCCTAGGAGCAATAGGCTGTACCCTACAGCCTAGGTGTGTAGTAGGTTATCCCACCTAGATTTGTGTAAGTACTCTGTGATGTTCACATGACAACAAAATCACCTAACAATGCATTTTTCAGAGTATATCTTTTCTCATTAAGCATTGCATGACTGTATTAGATACCTGTATAAATCTAACTCACTTTTAATGACAAAATGTTATCCCATTTTATGCCTATATTGTATTTAAACTCATTCTCCTATTGGTGGGGATTTGTTAAATAGTTTTTTGCTATTGTAATTCTCATACATATGTCTTTCTTTACTTATGCTAGTATTTTTGAGGGATAGATTGCTTATTATTTATTTAAAAATGCTAATCTTCTCTGTATTATTCCGATTTTAGTACATGTGCTGCTGAAACTAGCACGAGGGATATAGATTGCTTAGAAGTGAGATTTGCGGACCTTTTGTTGGTTGTGCATTTTGATAGGTACTCAGAGACTGGGAAAGTTACACTATTTACTCATTGTATGCTTTTAATATCTTTGCTTTTTTTTTTTTTTTTAAATCATTTTAGCAAGTCTGGAAAAGTTTGAAATTCCAGTAAAAATTCGTTTGAGCCCTGAACCATGGACCCCTGAAACTGGTCTGGTGACAGATGCCTTCAAGCTGAAACGCAAAGAGCTTAAAACACATTACCAGGCGGACATTGAGCGAATGTATGGAAGGAAGTAATTATTCTCTTTTGGCATCTGTTTGCTGCAGTGAGCTCAGATCAAATAGGAAAATACTTGAAATGCCTGTCTCAAACTGTGAGGCAAACTCCATTCCTCATATTAAATCTGAAATGTTATTTCTCATAACATCACCATTTTTAACTGACAGGATTAGTAAAATATTAAGACAGCAAACTGTGTCTGTCTCTTCTTTCTTTTTCCCCTCCTCCAATTTACTTTATCACCTATGACTATACTTGTCAGTATGAGAATTTTTCTGAATCGTATTGGGGAAACAGTGATTTTAAAACCTCAAGTTTTTAAACATGATTTATACGTTCTGTATAATGTTCAGTTTGTAACTTTTTAAAGTTTGGATGTATGTATAGAGGGATAAATAGGAAATATAAGAATTGGTTATTTGGGGGGCTTTTTTACTTAACTGTATTTAAAAATACAAAGGTATTGATGTGAAATTATGTAAATTTCAAATGCTTATGAATCAAATCATTGTTCAACAAAAGATTTGTTGCTGTGTAATTACTGTCTTGTATGCATTTGAGAGAAATAAATATACCCGTACTTATGTTTTAAGAAATTGAGATCTTGTGAATATATGCCTGTCAATGTCTTCTTTATATATTTATTTTTTATTAGGAAAAAAATGAAGTTTGGTTGGTGCTGCATGAAACAAAATAGGAGTAGAGGGTTATGGTTTAATGGTAAAGGAGATAAACACAGCAAGTGTAGCACCCGTTGATAATTAGTCTCCAGTAGCTTACTATCAAAATGTTCAGTGTCTTCTATTTAGCTGTTGAAACTAGGAATATATCTAAATTAAGTGGAAGCAATTCTGAAAGTTAGGGTAGAATTTAAAAAACAAAGGTTAGAAAGTTATTCTTTATTTCATTGACCATGTGTACATTGTGTTGTCTATATTTATGAACACAGTCATGAAAAATTATTCTACTCCAAACTCTTATTCTACTTTTAGTCTAGATATTTAATCATATATATCATTTCAAAATTAGGATTTTTTGTTTTTTATAGTTTACACTGGGGGGATGGTATGTGTATGGGTATGTGAGAGAGAAGGGAGGGAGAGAGAGCGATTGTCAGGGGTGGTAGCTTATTAAAAAAGCACCTTATTCTTTCATAATCTTTCTACACTAGAAAATGAAATAATTTAGAATGTGTTTGATACTGGCACTCTCACTAAGATACATGAGAATTTAATTAACTTTACAATGGGGTGAGTTAAAATTTAATTTGTGGGTTTTTATGTCAGCGTAGAAGTTATTGTGCTTGAAAAAACATTGTATGATACATAGTCTTTTCATATGTTTGCTCGTCTTTTGTTATTTCTGGATTATCAAGAGTAATATTGGTCCAATTAAGATGTGATCCAGTCAGGACTTAAAAAATCATAGCACCACATTTTTTCATGTCAGACTAGTTATTTTCTTGATTCTCAGTTACTTTAGGCATCAAAAGGCAAAAAATATATATATATGAAAAGATACGAACATAGGTCTGGGTAAGATAGTGGGATGCTGAGAGGAGCCAGGATCGTGTAGGTTTTGGTCACATCACAAACATCATATCTGGAGAAATTGCAATATGGTGTTTATTTTGTGTTCAACTTTTCTTAAATTCTTGTATATTTGTATCATGTTTAAATGCTTTTCTCTTTGTCATAGTTTAAATTTTAATAGTTGGGATAACTGCCAAAAAGAAATAAAGATATGAAAGAAAGTAAATGGAACTTATCTATCAGGATGCTGTGATCTAAAAATTAAATCAGGGTAGGTGGAGAGAATTTGTTTCTGATGCTTTGTCTTTACAATAATTGTTTGCTTTCAAATGATTAAAAAAAGGTATTTAGAAAGAAAAGCTTTAATGCTCCACGGGAGAGACACTGGTATTTGTGACTTGAAATAGTGTCGGATGAGTATGTTGCTTATCACCGGTTCAGAGTAAAAGTTGCTTCTTTCCAGAAACATCTAATGAGGCTACTTTAATCTATATCTAGTTCCCTTTGCTTTCTCACATGATTAAAGTTTATAATTTCTTTGAGTCCTAAAATAGCAGATGCCCAGTATCAAATGCCACAGTAGAACATGAAATTAAATAAGAGTCCCATTTCAAACAAATTTCTCTCTAAGCCAAAAAATATTTAGTGAATAACAAAAAAACCCTTAATACTGCTTTCAAGAAGAAAAAATTGAAGGAAACCATGCAACAATTACTATATAATTCTGTTATATAAGAAATACCAGTATAACCAGGAGATACTTGGGGAGAACAACTTTAAGGAATTTGAAAGTAAATTGCTAAATCTATATGCATATCTGAAAATAGGATATGGATCTTAAGAGAATGATTCCTAAGAACCATTTTTTTCTGGAAATAAGCTATATGAAGAATTCTTATACATTTCATGTTACAGTAAGTTTAGCAGTTTATAGCACATAGACTGGTGGCCACCTCCATTCCTCCTTCCACTCCTTCCATCCACCCCCCTCCGATATTTATCTTAGCTTAAAGGTCATCACGAAGTTTTTGTTGACACTGAACAAAACTGAAAGTGGTATCTACTTTCTAAATACTGCTTTGCTTTTAAATAGTGGAGTTTATATCCATGATGTTCTCTAAAGCTTGTAACTTTTTCAGCAATATTTAAAAATAGACTAACCTGGAATAACTTTTTGTTTAACTACTCAAGATTTTACAGTTTTTAAATAATAAGTTCCTTTAACAAATTTTTAAAATCTGCGTGGGTTCCTAGTTTATTAAGAATTATGTACATCTGTGATGTTCTAAAGGGAGATCCACTTTTCAACAGTGTACATACTGGGCCACTCTGAAATGTAATGCACCCTTTCTACACGTAAAATTGGTTATTTACTGTGAGTTCGTTTCCAGTGTATTCTTGGTTATTGCTGTTTTCTGCCTGAAAATGTGTACATCATAAAGAAGCTACATAGCTACATGGTATGGACTATTTTTTTGTAACTGGACATGAAAGTTTGAAGAATAAAGATATGTAAAAAAGTTTCTGATATTAAAACTAATGGTTTGTTTTTTTTAAAGAAAAGCTCTCCCCATAAAAGCCAAACTTTAATTGACATTCCTGAAATACATGTTGAAAAAGTAGTTTGGGGAATTTTCTTCCCTGTCCCTGGCCTAGCCATCTATTTGAAGGGAAGTTTTTTGTTCTAGAAACTGTTGTTAATCTTCTCCATCTAACATTCTCATATTCTAACTTCCTCCCAGTCCTTTCTGAATGCCTCCTTTTTCATTCTTCCCTTTTGGTTTTGATTGCACAGAAGGCTATGCTGTCAGCATTTTAAAGACAGTGCTGATAAGATGTTTTCTACACTTAAAATATTCACATAGCCTGACGTCTTGAATAGAGAAGATCAGTTAAAATTTGGCATCAAAATTCGTGGAGTAGAATCTGTATCGTAGCAGCAATAAAATAAATTCTGTGCTAACATTTAAATCCAATGATTGTGGGAAGAAGAGTTTTATCATACTGTGGTATCTCAGAAACTAACCCCTCTGCCTTTGCCAGTCAATGTTTGTTTCTGGCAAAGCTAGGTATGTGTAACTTTATACTAACTTACACTTTTATAAAAAATATGTCTTTGTATGTAATCCTGTAACAAAACCGGTTCAGGTATTTTTACATAAGCATCTGGCAGCTTCTGTGTGTTTTGCCTTAACTTAAACCAATAGTCATTTCTTTTTATTCACTTTGCTCAGATTATTCTTTTATTAAACATAGGTAGCTTAATATTTCTACCACTCCAAATATGTAAGTGGTTTAGCATGAGGCAGGTCTATATTGTCATGGAAAGGTTTTTATGACATAACATAAAAACAGTCTATATACAGATACATAGCCTGATTTTAGTAATAAAATACATTTTCTTCAATCCGACACAATACTCTGTCTCTGATCCCCTTCTAATTGGTCCACATGCAAGCATGGAGGCTGCAAGAGCCTGTGCATTTCAGAATCGCCTCCGTAAACCAAGTGCCTTAACATGGTGCATGCTTGTCCCCCAGAGTAGGTGTTCAGTGACTGCCTTTGAGTGAATTAAAATGTTAAAGTTATCACAATGCACGTGTGTGTCAGCAAAGCCTTCCCCATTCGTGCACTTAGTGATAGCTGAGTTACGTTGCCTCTGCTATTCATTCAGAAGCAACTTCTCACGTCTGGTGATTCCTTTTTAAATTAGCCCTCAGTTCTTTGTGAAGAAAGGTTATTCTCCTGTGCGATCTTTTGGTTATTCTATAAAAGGGGATCTCAGTTTGAAAGTTTTTCTGCGCAGATTACTTTTATAAAAACAGTTTCTCTTTAGTATGAATTTTTTGATGTTGAAAGTTTTTCTGTCTTTAGTGCATTTACAGGTTTCCAATCTGGAATGTGTCCTGTTACGCTCTTAATACAACTGCAGATGAGCTACCCTGTCTGCCTTCAGGGGGCTCTTCCCAGTGCGAGTTCTTTCATGTTCAGTGACGGGCAAGCGACAAGTGGAGATTTCTCCACATTGACCACATTTGTGGAGTTTCTCCAGTGTGAATTCTTTGCCGTTAACTAAAGGGTGTATTATGGCTTAAGATTTTCCCACTTTCTTCACATTCATAGGTGGTGGTTTTTGGTTGTCATCGTTATTTATTTTTCTAAACTTGCATGAACTCTCACATGTTGAAAAGTTTTTAGGGACTTCAGATACTTTATCAATACTATATGATCATAGGATTTCTTACCTGTGTGATTTTTCATGTGTCAGATCAGCAGTTCTCAAACTTTTTGGTCTCAGGACTACTTTATGCTCTGAGAGAAATTGACAAAATTATTGAGGACCCCAGAAAACTTTTGTTTATGTGGCTTACATCTATTGATTTTTTTTTTTTTTTTT